GCGGTGTTCGAACACCAACAACCTATTTTTATCCTGTTCCCGAATGGCCAAGTCTCTGCACCGTGGAGCAGGACTAGATGAACTACTGCAGCGTATGCTCGACCCTTCGCAGACAACCGGATGTGGCGACGGCGCCACAGATATTTCAGTTTGGCAAATGCCAACCAAGACTTTTGTATGCGCGCAAAACTTCATCTGTAGTGAGCCCGCCAGGTGAGATATAGCTGCTCAGATAAAAAACTTTGTTTACTTCCTATAACACTTCCCGGTCAGGGTGAGGTTGGGGGCTGAACCAACCCAATCTTGAAGAAACATTTCACACTTTGAAGGTGCAAAACGCATACCGAACATGGGTACACTAGCACTTAAACTATCCAGAATAACATGCAACTTACCTGGATCTTCACTTAGTAGCAAAACGTCGTCTGCGTACTCTGGATCTGCCACTTGGGAGTAAGTCGATGCCACTATTGTTTCCCGAGGATAGGGCTATTTCCATAATTCGGTCTATAACAAAGTCAAATAGAATAGGAGAGACAGGGCAATCCTGACGAACACCACTTTCTGTAGTGAACTGTCACCAGATGCTTCAAACAGAATCGAAATGCGTTTTCGCAGTTAGCAGCAGCAGCAAGTCACTTTGAGAATCCGATTATTCGACAATCATTCTCATCACGCCGAGTGACAGTCCGATTATCCATGACTAACTTTTATCACACAACCAACATTGCGTTCGCCGCCGGTCGGAAACAACTGAGGGCGCGATATAATCAAGGTATTTTATGTGAAAACATCATCGCCCTCGATGCAGCCACGAAGTCCAGGTGATAGGGCGTACACTTGCAAAGGCTTTGGGCGGTATCTTCATAAACGTTTCATTTCTATCGTGGACGCATAAAAAATATTTCTCCGAAGTTTGTATACAACTTTATTTCAGTTTGTTCATGCCAGGTCAATACGTTTCAGACTCTCGTTTGCGATCGATAATGATTGATTTATTAAACTGTACGCACCATTGTCCGGATTATATATCGGATGGTTAAAAAAGTTTGGTAACAGATACATTGTTAAGACAGAGCCTAGTCTATTTCAACGAGTTCGTTGTCCATTATGCGCATCAATCAGTACTACGTTTAGTACTAACAGAAATCTTACCATCACACTCCAACCCTAGCTTCCCTAAAGCACAAAGGTAATCAAAAAACAAATTGGTCACAGTGTGAACCACAACACTGGAGGTATGAACTGTTGCTGAATGTTTAAATAATTGTGTAGTTGCTTAATATCCTTTCCGACCTGGAAGTCAATCAATGGAGGTTTGGGTGGATGGTAAACTTGTCACTCACAAACGAAATGGTTTCTAATCATTGCACATTTATGATAAATAGTCAACACTTGATACCTCCGATGCATGCATAGCAGGCAACCGGATCCCTTCCTCGTATTTACTGAGTCCCGCGTAATAAAACCAAAGGGATTATCAGACAAGTCGCTCGCTCAAACAGATCGCTTAAATGGAAGTTCGTTTAGCATTGTCATTTCGCACCGTCCTAGAGTCGACCAACAAGCTCAACCAATAGCCCATCATAAACACTGACTGTCAGATACTCATATTCACAATACTATCTTCATTCACACACTCAACTGCATCTCAAATCACTTTTGAATACTATTGACAGAGTACTTTTTCTTCATTTTTTTCTAATCCAAAATATAAACAATTTAACCGAAGAACATTCACTAAAGAAAACAATCCATTTTCTCAACACACCCTAATCTCACAGAATATATATGACGTATGGAGTGCTCCAAGAACCCCAACAGCTCCAATCTATTTGTGCGTTGCGCCGGAAGGATTGAATAATTTGACTACTCTGATCAATCGCTACAATTTAACTTACATTGTCTTACAGGAAGATTTGTCCAAGTGAGTAACTCATACATGAATGTGATGCTTTGATCTTTTACACTCCTCGAGTGCTGAATACTAAGACCCCGTTGGGTTTGCTAGGTTTGGTGGTTATTTTGTCCTCCTCCTCCTCCGCATTGTCAGATTTACTGCTGTATTCCCAGAATTGAAGTTACAGCCGTGCCACCACTAACCAGCTCTAGGAGCCATTTATTTGAGAACCAACATTTGGGTGGTTGATTCTTCTCAGTCCTAGCTTTCCATTTTCCATAGCGTGAAGGTAGGTTCTTGTACTACATATTTTTATATCCTCGACCGTTCAGCATAATGAGGTGCGTAATGACAACATAATTTCAACCACTGAAGTCACTTCACTTGTAATTGATTCGAGTTGAACAACATGAAGAGACTCACGTGTTCAAGTTTGTGTATGTACGTGATCGGTTCAACCCCAGGCAGATTTCATGAGGTTAGTGGTGAAAACACTGCCAGTCACAGCATCCTTAGTTAAATCGACAAAAGCAATAGAAATATCCAAAGACAAACAATATTGCAAACAAGTTTGTTTTTGTAACTTCGTCTTAAGGTATTTACAGTTGTGTGTTTAAATATAATGTAGAAATAAATGTGACTGATCCATTGAAGTTAAATGTTAAAATATAACAAATTCTGTCACGTTTAATCGGATCGGGCGGAGAAGCGGAGAGTGGAGGGAAGGGGGACCAAAGTTAATTCTGAAAANTTTCTAATTACATTTTCTACGCGCCAAACTTACTTTGACTTATTTTGGGGCACTTTGTAAATGACATCGTTGTATGTCAGGTGCCCGGTATCGGCTAGGTGGACCACAATCGCACTGGTTATTGTTTTTTTGCAACCCGTGCTAAGCCAAGCCGGTTTATGTTCTCTGGTCCTTTCTGAAATCTGTCTCATCGTTCGTCCTACATAACTTCCCGAACATGTGCAAGTGAAGGAACACATAATTATGGATGAGGAGAAGATGGACAGCTTATCCTTGAGGTTTGTGCAGAGTTGTGGCCAGCTTGTAAACGTTGCACGTAGATTGGCAGCTGGGTAGGTTCGTGTGATTGCTTTTTCTAAACGTCTTCTTGGTAGATCACCACTCGTATTGCCTTTAAACGGGAGCTACAAGAATAGTTCTTTCTTTTTGGCCATGATTGGTTTTGACAGTGTGGGCTTTTCTATGAATTTCTCGATGAAACGCTCTGGGTATCCAGTAATCAGGAGTATGGATTTGATGATTGTTAGTTCTTCCTTCAATCGATCCTTGGAGCAAATCATTCGGGTTCTGACGGTCAGACTAATTTTCATCTATATTTCATTGGGACAAAACTTTGGAAATGAATGTATTGACTGTTCCACGTTGGTTTGTGAAAAATTGAACGGCATAACTTTCCTTTGGGCCCCTTCTTCAGGTTAACGTCGAGGAAGTGAAACTCATCCTGATCCTCGGTTTCAGTCGTAAAGCTGATTGACGGGTGAGCTCGGAATCAGAATACTTAATTTACCTCTCCTCAAACAGATGGGGTGTATTGGTTTTAAACTATACAAGTTAAAGGAAGTGTTTCAAGTGACGAATAGTACAGAATTACGAGTTTCGACAAGTGTGAACGATTTTAAGCTAATTCGTTAAACTTTGTTTTGCAATCGCACCGGGGATTTCTCAAGTATCTTTAACGTGACTAGAATCAGTAAGTTAGGCAGAATACTAATAACATGCTTTTGAGCAAATAATAGCAGTGAGCATGGCACTGGACAGCATCCGCGTTGCGTCCAGGTTGCAGGCATGAAACACGCATTGCTGAATTGCTTCTGTGGTCGAACTTGATTTAAATTATAACATCATGCGTGGATCGTTGAGAGTTTGGGATTCCAATAGTTTTATCAATTTGATACATTACATTAAATGAAACCGGGAGCTGCTCGTTTATTGTGTAGGTCTAGAATGTTCATCTCAATTTGAGGGAGTTTGTGCTAGAAGTGGAAAATGGAATATCGTACCAGTGCATAGCTTTGCCACTCTCCCACCATGAATTTTATAAGCCAAAAAGTGTACCCTAGTCAATGCTGAATCAACTTTGATTCCGATGTCTGGTAAGATGAAACTGATGCTGATCCTTATCCCTTGTTTATCTACAGAGAAATTTCTCGACAAGCGCAGCACAATTATGTAACGCGTTTCCGACGGACGCGGAGATCACTNGGCGCACCGAACATGATGCATATCGAACAATGGAAGAAGTGAGTTCATGCTGGTACAGTCTTGATCAGTTGGTAGATAACAGAGTAAAGGGCTACAATAAAGTTGTCTGAGCACCATACAACTGCGGATGAGAATGTAACGGTTTATCCGTGGGGATTTACACCGTTACGTTTTGGCTACTAATAAGTAGTATGAGACAAGATTTGAATCAACTCAAGAACTTCAATGCAGTAACTTGTATACTCGTGCAAATCTGATCTGTCTTCCAATCGAAGTAAGGAGCCGGTAAAAGGAATAGCATAAACCATATCCTGGATAATCCTACAGAGACACAGATTGTGGCCGAATAAAATTCGGGCATTCTAAATATTTTGGTTCCTATACCTGCTTTGGAGATGACTACTGCTTGCATCTTTTCACTTGCAAACACCTTGAACAGGGGCTTTGCTACCGAACTTTCTTCATTGATAGTCCAAAGGTGTTTCATCAGCTGAACTAGAATTAAATTTTCATTATTTCCTATTTATAATAGCAGCTGATTAATTTAATCCTCTTTTCTTTTGAAAGTGTTATTTTTTGGCTCACCAGGCCTCGTTTCATTCTCCAGTTTTAAGGGCACTTCTCCTAGATAAAAATTCCCTCAAAAACAACAGGATTGTTGCAGCTGCTCCCCACGTTACTGTTTCCTGTTTTCCATATATCTTGGCTTGTAGCTCTGACCTCAGTTCGAACAAACATATCTTTAAAATCGCCCTGGGCGCAACTTGTGGAGCAGATTAAGATCGGCAGCTATAAACGGGTAGAGGGGGCACTGTTTATGATCAAATTAATGAGCTGATATTACGTCACCAATGAATGTAAGATACTGCACATTTACGTATTGTTCATTTAGAAATCTTAGAAAGTTATTTTAACATAATTAATATTGGTGTAGGATACTGCATAGCCAGGAGGTAGAGAGGTATTTAATTATACGATGACACGAAGAGAATCGAATACAGAGGAAAGTAAGTTTGAGACCAAAAATTGGGAACGCTATATTAAAACCCATTTTTTTCCAACTCAATACGAGCCTTGATCCTTCCCCTCGTGTTAGTAAGAGTGTGGAGATCGCTTGGAACTATACAGAATTTGACTGTTTCAAAATATCATGGAATTCACGCTGCTTCTGATACTTACCACAACTGGAACAGCTTTAAACTGATGCCTAGTTTTACAGTTCTGTTGCATTTACACTAAATGTGATCATTAGTCATGCTAAACTAAACATTCTCTGAATACACTCAAAATTCATGTTCATGCACCTAACGGTGATTTAGTCAAGCAACATCTTCCATCGGATGGAAATACAAGAATGTAGTCTATGCATATCTGGTTTTTCATTGTTGATAGGTTTATTTGTGTTAACTACTAGGATTACTGTGTTTCAGCTGAGCTCAGTGAATTTTCCCAAGCAACTTAGTGAGTTGTCAGTTCACTTATATACACACGAAAAGATATCTGTAACAGCCGACTGCGAAACGTCCATTGTTGTTTTGTTCATCATAATACTCGCAATAGTTGTGACTCTGTTAGGACTCGAACCAGAAAAACTTACGGTGGAAACCCGTAGAATAACCAGAATAACGCAAAGTGGATGAACCAAAAAACTTAAGGCGTTGTTTGAATTAAAGTTATTTTTTACTGAATATAAACTTGATTGAAATCGGGGGAACCGCTGAGAAACAACAATGATGAAGCACTCAATAATCGAAGCACTGAGATTAATTATTGTTCTTCATTGTGTCCTTTCTCCTGTCTTAGTCGTCCTTCCGTTTGTCTATTTCAGATCTACGAGGCATTGGATCGACATGGACGACAACATCCGTTTGTCAAGGTGGAGACTATGGGCTACACCGAGGAGGGTCGTCCTTTGAAAAGTGTGTTTGTAAGTACTTTGCTCGTACTCTGTGTTACACAATGTGGTTGACGGGGAGAGAGGATAAGGTAAACAACCATATAGAATGGAGCATTCACACACAAATGGAATCACAGTTTGTGTGCTTACATCTCGGGAGCTTTGAACCGGAAAAAGATGCTAATTGAGACATGCAAATTACACAAAGAGCTGTTATTGCAAAGTTCATAGTTACCCTGAGCAGCGGGATACAGATAAAACTTGGAGATTGTCTGTACTCAGTATGGTCAACTTATGGCGTATTTTAAATGGTACGAGCACAAGCAAACTACACTTTTAGTAGACGAACTCGGGACCCCGGATACTCTTAAGTAGGAATTTACAAAACTTTAATAAAAATCATTTAACAAAGTTTCAGCTTTCAGGAAAGTGCATTACGAACGTAAAAAGAAACTGTCCTCAATTTTCGATAATTCTAATTGCTTGGGAAACTGCCATGCTTGAAGCGTTCATATTCATTGACTTCAAATAGCCCATGCTCCTTATGTAACCTAATTTGGGCTGGGAGGTGGTATTCAAGAGGTCGGGGTCACCAATCTACCACCCAAGCGAGCGTGTGTTCGAACCCCACCACCGTCAACTTACTTTTCTCGTCTCTTGGTAACACTGATTGACCGATTACCTCTTCCGGAAAAAAAAATTCGTACAGTCATGTATTCAATAAAAGAACGTGAAGGAAACTCTCGTCAGAAGCGCACTCAGTTGAGAATAGAACTCTATTCGGTCAAAGAACTTCATAGCGGAGCTAGGCCATCTATCGTGGAGCCATATAAATTCTGTAACACACACGACACAATGCGAAAATCAGAATGTGATGGCGTGTTGCTTCGTTTCTAAGTCACACCATCACAATCGTGAGCAGTGAGATACGAACTATCCTAAATTACTATTTCGGTTGTTTAGACACGAAAGAAGCCACCATGTGCGGAGGGATGAGGTCTCCCTATACTTTTATCGCGCTTCCGAGGACATCCATCCATGAATTGGAGACTTTATCCCCGTCAAATAGCTCCAGTCCAGTCACATTGTCACACTGTCACATAAATAAATGCATATACAAATAGGCAAGCACCATTCATTCCAGTCATTGAGGTTGTATCATCTCTTCATTCATTCAGCAAATCTTTACTTATCCATGTTTGATCAGCTAAGATGTATACTGTATTTAGCCGGTTGATAGCCCTCCAAAAACCAGCTTGTTTGCTTACTCATGTATCACTGACTAATCGCTTACCAGACTCAATATTTCATCGTGTCCGTATGGTCCTTCAAACTCTCCTCATTTAGTGATCACGTTGATTTCATTTTTTGCGAACAGTTCGGTGCTTGTAACCAGTTTACCAAAATACTTTACCTTGTTCTGATTACCATTTTTTAAGGACAGTCTCTAAGCTCTGTCCAATTGACACATTAGGTCCCGATTTAAATAGCTCTTATCGAGTTATTCATTAGCTACTAAGTTATTATTCCTCATTTCATGTCATTTTTAGTCAACCACCTTCCCATTGTTACTAATCTAATGACCTGTTTTCAGGTTATCGTTGATAAATAAGTTCGTTCGCCAGTCGAAACACTATCACCTCACTTCCGTTGATGTATCATCCAATCAGGGTTCGACCTAACTGGATCGAAAATATGTATATGTACAATTTTATTTGTTTCTTCGTCTCCATATTCGCGCTAACCTCACAAGTAATGCAACATGTTCCTCTTTGTTCACCCTCACTGCGCGCGATCAGATTTCGAAAGACAAATCAAAACCAATCATCTGGATCGACGCGGGAATTCACGCTCGCGAATGGATCGCGCCGGCAGCAGCATTGTATTTTGTAGATCGGGTACGTTGTCCCTATTGGAATGATGGACTTCTGCTGACACTGACTTCTATCCTTCGGACAGATAGAAGGTTGTTGTGACATTTATGATACCAGTTCTGTTCAAACGTTTTTCACTCTGAAACGATTCACGACAGTTAATGCTAAATTTTAGCAACCGCAAGTCTCAGTAGCCATAGGAACCTGTGCTTCTGCTATCAATAAAATATGAATTCAAGTAAAAATTGATGACAGATATCACACCTATTATCGAAATACAAATTCCTTTCTTAAGTATGAAGGTAAGCTGTCGGACCTGTGATCCCTTTTTTAAACGCCTTATATGAAGCTGTTCAGACAAGGAATTCGATCTATTCACATATTTAGCTAAGCGAGTGATTTGAAAATATTACATGACATCAAGCTCTAGCTTAGATCCACAATTATCTAACCACGTCCTGGGTCACTTAGCCACGCCGCAGTAGGTGAGGTAGATCAGAGAATATCGGATATTATGAGACCAACGACTATTCAAAATGTTGTTTTCTTCCACACTACAAATGCATGGTTAAGACATGGGGCATGGTGATCGTATGCTGCGTGGCTGACCGCACCGTCAACTGTTTGGATAAGGTTTAAACGACGCAAATCTTTTATAAAGATTATTGTACCGCGATTTGTTTGGCACACATTCTGAACTCAGAAATGTGTGATATATATGTGTATATATAGAAGGAACAATGCCCCTGTATCGTCCAACCATTTGTAACCTCAAGCAAGACTTCGGTGCTTCCGGTGAGGGAGGTTTGAATTTGCTAAATAATAAGCGAATTTTATTATTAACAAAACGTTCACCTGTTTGAACTGACCCAACGCTTCTTCCAGCGAGCCGGTACGGTAAATTGAATCAAATTTGATGTTTGGCGTGTAATTGCACCTCTAAAGCCCTCCGATGAACGAGCGCATTGCCATAGATAAAAAGCACTTATCTCAGTAACAATTAACATGAATCACCATGACATGAACGTATTTAGTTAGCCTTTGTATGAAATTCACACTTGAAGATACTGGCGATTGAAGAGCGTGCTTTTTTTACGTTGGGTCTTTTTCTGGATAAGAGGTCTCAAAAGGCTTTACATCCCAATTCGAGAAGTTCATAACTGCGACAGTACCATGTGTTATAGCTGTTCTCGTCAATGTACAGCCTATAAGTTATGTTACCAGGTCGCTGTGAGCCATCGGCTGGATGGTCAGCTTCATAACGGAATAATAGTGTCCATCCGGCAATCAATTGATCGAAGTCTTACTGAACGATGTGTCTGGAACGTACTTCTCCATCCTATCACTTAACCAACTCAATATGTTTACCAGATTCTCCTCGACAAGCTCAGGCAAATGTTTTGTGAAATCGTCGTTGAACTTGTTTTTGTCCTTGAGTGTGTTATTTCTCAACCCGTGGCTACAACAGTACCACATATACTGATCTGAATGCCAAGGTGTTTAGTAACTTATTTCACAGCCTCCCGTCTGCATGCACCTTTAATTGTTCTTCACTGAAGTGCAGCGCGGATGAGACCATAGGGTCTTCTCTGTCTATCCATTTTGAAGTCGAGTCAAGTATATGCTTTATGCATCCCGAAAGGTGAATACACAGTAGCAACGTAAACCGTATTGTAGATGCATAGAACGGGGTATGTGATTTGACGAATAGTCCTGCCTCCGGGCCAAGTGCATTTTGAAGCCCCATTTCCCGCGATTCAAATACCACTTGCGGATGATACTAGAAAAACGGATTCCACGAAGTGTACCACCTTAAATGTAACGTGTTATTTTGGATTGACTAGCCCCAACATAAATCAAAAGGAGATACAATAAAAATGAACGCCTACCGTTCCATATTTTATTTAAACTGAAAGCCGTTCTAGACGAGTAGATACATGAACAGTCCAAGGACAATAAATAAAGTTCACAAAAATGTACTCACCCCACTGTCATTAGGATAAATTTGATGCAATATTGATGATGAGCAGCTGGGCAGCATACGACCACCAAGCCCCAGTTCTGAACCAAGATTTGTAATGTCAACACTTTTGAGGAAACAAATTTTAACATTCGTTGACCTCAGAATATTCCAATTCACTCTAATCTGCTCCGCTTACTGCGTCGACGATAGAGGGCCACAGATTATGACCAAAGAATTACGGGTTTTCGTAAAAGCGTTATGGAGAAGGTGTGGATATACCCAATCATCGGGTAATTTTGCGAAAACATTCTAACATGTTATGAAACATCTACTTCCACCCAAGCTTGATTAGTAATAAATTTCGGCTTTTGTGATTCAAGTTACTCCCTGGTTTAATCATTCTATCCGTAGTGAAAGGCTGAAGTAAAACTATATCGATTATCAGTTTACACATCGCTCTTCTGATCTTCGTTTGCGATGATCACATAATGAGGCGTATGCGTTTCTTGCACGTGCCACAATTCAATTTTAAGAGGACCAATCAGAACAGTGAATTTTCAACTTATCTGACAGAATGAATATGAGAGTAGTAATGTTACGAAAGGGCACATCACCCCGGCTACAATTGGACGAGTCAGACCCAACCGGTCATTGATTATAAATTTTGGTACTTGCTGGTTCCCCTTTTTGGCATAACCATCTGTAATCGTCATTTCTCTTTGTAGCTCCTGAGTTTGAACAACTCAAATGATCCTCAGTTCCAATTGGATTCCCTGTTATTCAAGTACATGTACTTCTCCCAGTGTCACTTGTGATCTGAAAAACGATTTGTCTTCTATTTGTTTTTCGTGATTTACGCTCTCTGTTTGGTTTTCCTCTTTGTATTTATGCAAACGAAATGCTCATGAGAACTAGCGTTTTTGGTACCTCGAGTTCTCAAATTACCTTCTGTGTTCCCGTGATCAATCTTTTTATGCTACAAACATCTGTGAGGAAAAGAAATAAGCAGCAGACCTGCAACAAAACACATGGGTTAGATAATTTACATTTGTCACTCGTGATATATTCTGTTATAAACATTCGAATTTAGAAAGAAGGAATTTATTTCCTATGGATAATATTTATTTTTCATTATGAATTGTATCTGGTGATCATAGAAGAAGTAGGAAGCATTTTTAAGCAACAACAATAATAATAATGATAAAAATAATACAAATTATGGTGTCATCCCCCATTTCAATTTTTACCGTCGCTCAAATTTTCCGTACGTAATGGTTTTCGCACCGACTCAGCTCCTGACGCGAACCGGTCAGACTCTATTGCGCGATTATCAGTTCTACATTTTGCCGCTGGTCAATCCCGACGGATATGCCCATACACATCGAGTGGTAAGTGACCGCACCTTGCCATAAACACCGTTCTGCAGGGAGTGCAGTACGGAAAGAATGGCACAAACCGAACTCATGAATTCGCATAAACATATTTTCAAAGGATATGATTTTTTATCATCAAATTTAATACTGTCGCTAGTGCTGGTGCTTCGTTTTGCAAGGGGATAGAGATTACCAACTGTGACTCAATAACGAGTGACTCACTCACTAAGCAATACAGTGTCATACAGCACAACTCGTCCCGATAATCGATACTCAAGAGCAGGAGGTACTGGAATGGTAATATAGTAGTGAAACAGAATGTTGTACTCACACACAGGAGTAATGTGATTATTGTGAGAAACTTATGAATATATAAGGATAAATGAATCGTGATGGAAATGACAGACAGTTGATCATAGATTTATTTGCTATCTGTTGATCTCGGTTGTTCATGTGCTTATAGACCAATCATATGATGAGGATCACTTGCTGATATGGACACGAATGATTCGGATGCTAATGATGATGATGATGATGATGATGATGATGATGATATGCGACTCACATCGAACAACTGTTTGCAGGAAATTAAAAAAATAGGCTTCGAAATTTCTAAACCCACCCACCTCCCCCGATTTTCAAAGCATCCATGAACTTGTTTTATCTTATTTGATTACTTTTCGCCTTTGCGATAGTGTCTTCTAAATATAAAATCAAAACTACTTATCCTTCAACGAATGTAACTTTGAATTTCTTGTATCTCTGGAATTTGCTTCAATGCAGGATCGTCTTTGGCGGAAAAACCGATCATATTCAGCCGGCGAACGTTGTCTGGGAGTGGATCTTAACCGAAATTTCCCTTTGAAATGGGGAGGTCAGTTAAGTTTATTTTAAATACCGATTTTCAACTTGAAAGAGCATACTATCATTTAGAGTCAATAAATAAACAGTTACTTAAAAATATACGTTAGGTATAATGACATAGATCTTTCATTGTTTCATTCCATCGAAGATGCGAAAAGATAAGGACAAACTCAGTTTGTGAGTTCGTCAGGCAATCAGTTTACCAACTGATTAAACGAGACCCGAGGATTATGCACTATAACAGACCTTAATGTGTATGTGTGTGTTGCGCATAGATGTGCACGTGTCGATTACTGTTGACGAGATGACTCGATTGGGCACCTTGTTCAGCAGTCACCTAATAGATTACTAGTGACGAAGGTCCTGGGGCTGGAATTAAACTTTTCCGGAAACCTGGGACCTGATTTGTAAGCCGGTACACTAATAGATTTGAGCAATCACTAACGTTGGGATACGTCAGGTGTTTGACAGCGCAATTCTGTCTAGTAGTTTCAGCGCGGTTTCCAGTTGAACCGCATCCGTGCTCTCAACGTGTAAACATTGATACAGCTTAACGACGTAACTCTTCCTCCCAGGACTCTATAATTACTGATATTCTTCAAGACGTTCCGGTGATTCCAATACAGTCATAGTCGTGAAAAATGATCCAACTGAGCTGTCAATTTATTGTGAACTAACGGATCGAAAATAAATTGGCAAGATTTTTTATCGGTAACTGCGAGGAAGTTGCAGACTTCATCATTTTTACACAAAGGAAAAAATGATATTAGGAGAAACGGGTGAGTGCGTGACAGAGAGTCGTGCCGTTCAAAGGTTCATTGAGGGCATCCCTCACGCACTTCGGTGAGCTAACTCATGGGGTAACTGGTGTATCACATTGAATTGAGAGAACGAGTGGTAAAATTGATGAAAATGTAAATGTGAAAGCAAAAGTCAAAAGACCTTGAGATTAGCGGTAATGGTTGTGCAGTTGAATGAAGTTATCAGTGAACTTTTATTATACTTGATAGTATGATGTAAACTGTGAGTGAGTAGTAGTATGCTAGTCAAACCAATAATCATATTAATTCCTATAACCATGGGTTGGAAAGCACGTTCACAAAGCCTGTTGCGAGCATCAATCAAATTGTGATGCGGGCTGAGGCAATGGAACGTCCATAGTGCATCGAGCTAGGTGGATAATAATAATATTCGACCGCGTTCTTACGAAACCTCTGCATGTGAGCACGTGAACTGTGTGCTTGCTTCAAGGAAACACAGACGTGTGGCGCACAAGAAACCGAGAGCAATTCACTCCGATGACTTATCCTGGTCCACACTGACTACTGGCAATGTTTATCGGTAGTCGAAATGCGAAATTAGTTTTTCATACCATAGATCGCTCCTCAAACTTATGCAGTTCTTCTTCTCGGAAAGAAGACCTAAAGAACTGCTGTTTATCTATGTTGTTTTTCCTTATGTTTTATGTTAACCCTCCTTGAACCGTAGCCACCAAGACTTCGCCGAGAGTATCGAACCATGTATTTCCCAAAATAAACTTGAAGCGGGAGCACAACAAAGCTAGGTTGCACGATTTATGCTTTAGTTTTCTGCTGTATTGAATGTACCAGTTGATATGCAGCAAAATGTGCCTTGGCATAAAGCATGCAACCTAGCTTTGTCATGCGTAGTGCGTCTGCACTGCCTCATCAACATTTCAAAAGGTCTTATTTCGCATCGTTTGGGTAGCGATCAAAGTGCAGACTGTACGAACGAGTCCTGTAATCTTTTTCCACCGTCCTTTATTAAGCCTTTTTACAAAGCCATTTGGCCAAATTCACCTCAGAAAAGAGGCAATATTATTCAGGCAGAAATGATGCTTATTATGGAATGTACCACACAAGCCCCACGTTTACACTTCGGAAGGGATTTAATGTGCCTAAAACATGTTCATAGTATATCAGACTAGGGAGGGGGTCACATTTGTCAAACAATGAGTAACAGAACATATTTTTTCCCGCTGTGAGTAAAGCAGTAAAACATTTTGATTAAACCGCTTAAAAGCAGTGCAACCTCTCAGTTTATAACCTAATTTTACCTGAACATGTAGTTAAATGCTAACATGATTACCCGACCATTTTACAATTGAGCTTCGTTCTTACACCTAGGACACGAGAAAAACAACAACAATGTAGGATAAAGGCTGAAGAAAGGATAATTTACAACTGTCAACAAAATGTACAATTTCATACACCGCAATTATATAGCTATTCTAAACAAATTAGATTTGATAAGATTTATTGGTACATAAGTGAAACATAATCACCCGGTTAAACCTGATTAGCGGGAATCACGAGGTTCCATTGATCGGTTTCGATTGTCAGGCTTTCGGTTTGCTTCGTTAGCTGCCCCTTGATTGTACGAAAACGAAGAATATTGCAATTTAGCCTAATTTCTGATAAAAAGATGCCAGAAAGAGACCAAGTCACAAAGTTTTGAGAGGTGTTGTTCGGATTTTACCATTCGATAAGGTAAATCTGGGTTTCAAAATAACTGATGCATTCGGTCCTAACCGGGCTAACCAGTGTTATAACTATTTTATCAGAATTTTGGTTTCCCTGAGAGGTTTAAGTCAGAAAAGCTGTTCATTTACTAAGGAGTCTATGCTTGGAACTCTTTGATGAGCCAGAGGAATTAATTACCGTGGAGACATTTAAAGTATGCCTAGGTTCTAACAGCAGTTCTTGTACTACCAAGAATCAAGGGAACCCCAGGAAGTCAACAGAATGAAAAGAAAACTTTGAATAAGAACGTGTGGTTGCCATTAACTGAGGACGCCACCGTTAACTATCGAGATAAAATCAGATAATTTACTCTCGATTTTCGAACGTTTACTTCCCGTTCGTCCGGATAAACAGATTCAGCCCCGCCCCCCATTCCATTCAATTCAGACGTTGTATCTTGTAATTACCTTTTGAAACATGGTCCAGATTTAGTTTTGCGTCTTGGAGCCTTACTTTTGAAACATAGCTGAGCTTCATGGTCGCCTCGAACGATCCTTAATTATCTGACCACGAACGACCTGAGTGCAATGGCAGGGATAGTTATTAGTAAGGTCAAAACGGACTTAATGAAGCAATAGTCTACCAACCAGGAGCCAAATATCAATTGTTACATAAGAATATACCCTTGACATCCACACCATCCAGTTGCTCCGTGGCATGATCAGTTCGCTTAATGGTCGTCCAATCAAGTTCAGTTGAAGGACCTTGTGATTGATTCCCACGCTCTTCGACCGTCGCATTCGTTTGTGTCAGCTGATCATTTGTACAGTCCGCTTGAACAGCACTGAACAATCAAAAGCTTTATGAATGGCTGGAATCGAGCTACATGCAACTAAGAGTTGGTGTAGAAATAAAAAGATAGACGAGTACTCATAAAAACGAATGAGCAAATGTTCTCTGATTGGCCTGAAGCGAAGTATCCCTTGTCTGTCAGAAATCATTTCCGAAAGCCCTCACTGTGAAAGATAGAGTGAGTCGAATCGTCAGCTTTGTACAGCGATGAATTATTTAATGTTTTCTACTCTAGACGGCAAATGTTTGGATTAGCCCATTCAGTTTTTCATAAGCACATGACACTGTTGATGATCGTAGCTGTGGGTTTCACTCCTCAAGAGATCGATAATTACCCACTAGTTGAATGCATTTAAATGCGATGGAAATGTTTGTGATAACCGACAGAGTCACAAACAAGACAAAACAGCTGCCCAGTGCACTATGTTGGTTATCGCAAACATTTCCATCGCATTTAAATGCATTTTCTAATCTATTTCATTTATTATCCAATATACGTTATTGATAAGAGAGAGGTTCAGAGGAAAATCGTTAATAACGGAGTGGGAAAAAATGGAGAAATCTAAAATGGTAGCAGTGTGTCAGGAAGTGCTCAATCACATAGGTCTCCAGGTAGAAAACATGAAATGGATAGTGCTATAGTAAACTTGGTTGGTCTGACAATGTTTAACTTATCAAACTAGCAAAATAGGACATTAGAGTTACCTAATCAATGATCTGAAGGGCTGACCAAGCATTTTTCATCTATTGTTGAAAATCAGCTATATCTAAAAGTTGAACCTAATTACTACATATTTATTCATCGAAAGTTGTCTACGAGGAGCTGGAACTAAGTGCGAACCCATAGCAATCAGTCATCGTTTGGGTCCGGGACTCGCGTGCCGATGATATTTTATCTGTCCTCATCAAGTTTATATTTTGATTTTCTTATCAAAGGTGTGACCAAACTGTCCTTCAGTTTCCCATAAAAAACTAACCCCCTACATGGCAGATCACTGTACACAGCAAGTCTGCTATCACGTTCAAGAAGCGGCAGATGTGTATTTGAAAAGGTTTTTCAATTCGAGAATATATGTGGTCTTTGTTCATTCATTTCCATAGATCCAATGATATTATTTGACTGATATCATGAAATTAATGTGAACAAAAATATATGAGTAGATGGTGATGGTACAGTTGCTCAGACGTTATGGCGAAAGTTAGGTTATTGCAACGTGATCAGTGAATAGCAATGTCAACAACTCATATTTATAGTAACCATGAGTTCACATTATTTTGGTCCTATTATTCCAAACTAATTATACATTTTCTCTCGCTCTCTCTGTTGTCCGTCTGTTATGTTTTCCTACACCTTATCCTCACTCATCCGCGACGGCACCAGCAGGAGATGGTTCGTCGCCACAAGCATGTACGGATATCTATCGGGGAAGCAAACCGGCATCCGAGTTAGAAACCCAGAGTATAGTTCGACGTCTGACGGAACTGAAAGATAAAATGATACTGTATCTCAGTTTACACTCGTACGGACAGTATATTCTCACTCCGTACGGGTTTGCAAGATATCAGTATCCGAAAAACTATAAGAATATGGTAAGAAGTAATTTCTGTTTTTGACACAAATTTGATTGACGTGTGTCTCTGTTAATGGCCCCGAATGGAATATCGTTCAATGTCCTTTTTGGTCAGTTGACGTTTATGGCTACGAGTAGGTTTTAAACTTGGTACTTTATACGCATTAGATAATGCTAAGCAACTATTTTGTGTGAACCAAATCGGGTAGCGGTTTGTCACTGGTGTGCTTCAAGCGCAAACACAGTCAACAGTACAGCCACCACTTTGATGCCCATAGATTGTTAGCTAGGAAGAACGATACGAGTTTAGGTAAATTGGGTTACACAGACCCAGCCGCCTCATCTGAAATAGACCACTCATAGCTACAACAAGCTCACAGAATAAAAGAACATTCCGACGGTAGAAGTGCATTTTCCGTATTTAATAATCACATTTAGTCATTTAAGGAATGGATGGGAAAACGAAAGTGCGTAATCTGCTGCCATAACAACTTCCATGATGAGCTTTGGCCTCCTGAATATTTCATCTTCAATCTATTAGCGGCAAATTTGAGTCTGTTTGCGTTCATTTTAATCGCCAATAGACTGCTAATAATAGTGCTGTGAGGCACTAACAGTACTGAACTTTCGTTTTCCCACCCCTTCCTTAAATGATTAAATATAATTATTTATGAAATGTTGTGTACTGAGCTAATTTCTGTGGGACAGAAATCAAGTCTGTGTATAGTTCTGATTTTTTTGAAAGCCAAACATTTTATCCAGACGAATCACCGGCAAGTAAATAAAACTTCTGAAATAGAACAGCTCCCACATGAACTAAAGGCCTTTACTGGACAATGCCCCGATTCACTTTCAGATCAACTTGGGTCACTTGGTTCGAAAAGCAATTCGAGAACGACATGGGTTTGTCTATCAAGTTGGATCATCCTCGGATTTGCTTTGTGAGTTCTGGTGTATACAGTTCGCTGGTCATTACATTGCCACTGGACGCTTGCCTATTGAGAAAGATTTAATTTCTCACTAGTCACGGGATATAAACGGACAGTGACAAGGAGCGCAGCTCTGAGCCCCATTTTACCCTTATCCCTTTAGACGATGAATTGAATTAGTGACTTCTCGAACTAGCGGCTACTACTACTACTACTACTAATACTACTACTACTACTAATACTACTACTACTACTACTACTACTACTGTTGTGAGATACTACTCACTTGTGACTAGTCGGTAACTTTCAATGATTA